CTACACCATTCTATACTCTAATAGAGAGTTGTCTAACAGAGGTAGAAAGAACTTCTGGCTCCACGTGTAAGGAGCTTAGGCGTCACCATTCTGTCCTAACAACTAATAAAAAGCTGAACAGACTGAAAAAAATCAGCAAATCTTCTTGGATCCAAAAAAGAGAAGAGGAAACCAGGCAAACCACCTCCCTCCAAGGATGAAGAAACAGATGGTTGCAGACATGGCAGGGATGTTGGAATTACCAGATCTATAATTTAAAACAACCAGGATTAATATGCCAGGGAAGGCTGGTGTGCTGCCGTCCATGAGGGTGAAAAGAGTCGGACAAAACTTAGTGACTGAACAACAACAATATGCAAAGGGCTCTAATGGATAAAGTAGATGGCATGCAAGAAGAGATGGGCAGAGTAAGCAGAGAGATGGGGAAGTTCTAAGAATCAAAAAGAAATTCTGGAGAGATAGAACATAGGGTACAAGTCCCATGTGTAAGTTTAAATTTTATAATAATTGTATTAAAAAAATAAAAAGAAACAGGTGAAATAATTTCAATAATATACTTTATTTAATCCCATATATTCAAAATAGTATTATTCAGACATGTAATCAATATAAAAAAGTAATGAGACATTTTACATTCTTTCTTTTTTGTCCTAAGTCTTCAAAGAATGGTTTGTATATTATACCTTGGAATAACTCAGTTCAGATTCACCACATTTCAATTGCTTGAAAGTTACACATGGCTAGTAGCTAGTGTATCTAACAATGAAGTTCTCAACCTTCCTCTTACAAACTGGGTGACCTTGGACATGTCATTTAACCATTCTGAGTCTGCTTACCTCTCTGTAAAATGGAATTCTATCAAAAAACCCTACATCCTAGGGTGATATGTGCAATTAAGTAAGATAACAGAGAACATAGCTGGTGGGTGCTCAACAAACTGGAGTTCTCACAACCATCATCTTAGAAAACGGGTCCTTCAACTAACCACCTTGGCTTTCTTATTTTGAATTCAGTTGGTGGATTGGAAGCAGAGTCTTACCTGAACATTTCCCCACCAGCTGAAACAATTTCTAGTCAGTCATGTGACCAAACAGTTAAGAAACAGAGTGACAGAATATTCTCTGAAATAACTGATGGCCTGATTCATTGAGGAGATTAGGGTCTAGAGGTTACACAGTTAGTAACAAGAGGAAGAAATATGGCCCCAACTTAAAGTCTGAACAGACGTTAAAAAGTTCATTACAACAGGATTGCAGAGCCCAAACCAGCTCGGTTTGGGAAATGTTGTTAAGACTATGATTTACTGACCATCAACTACAGGCCAAACACCAAAGTACTTTTTGGACGTCCATTTACTTAAAAATAGGAAGGGCACAGAAACAAACATGCAAAGCCCTGTAAAGCAGGTCATCTCATCCTCATTTTAAAGATAAGGAAACAGAGGCTCAGAGTAGCTGACAAATTTGTCCAAGTTGATATAGCTCTTAGGTGACTCTTTTCAGAACCCTATGATACTTTCTTATTCTCACGTGTCAGATAAAGGTGATGTGGGGTGGTACTGACCTGGTACTAGCCCCCTGCAGAGCACACACGAATTATTTCAAAGTGAAACACTTCCTCTATGAGTTGAATATAAAAGATGAAACACAAATGGCAGGAAAGGAACCATCTTCTGTTCTACCTATTCACCTGAATGGATGGTTTGTTTCTAGGTGATGTTTTTAGACAACAGGCACAAACTAGTTCTCTCATGAGATAAAGCGGGCAATCAGATAGAGCCACAATGACTTTTTTTTTAATTAGTTCTATTTATTAAGAGACTGGCAACTTGCTTGCAAAGTCTGGTCTTGTAGGGAACAGCCAAGGAAGCTTGCGGGAATAAGGGGTTTTTGGTACAGCGGTAGGGGAGAAATAGAGAGAGGAGTAGCTGCTCTCAACGATCAATCCCGAAGAGCACATGGCTCTTGTTATATCTGGCTGGCTCAGCAACTATCCAAGTTATGGGGCTGCAGGGGATACTGTCTAGACCAGTTCTTTTGGCCCTGGGGTTGGCAGAACATAGGATCAGAAAGCCAAGGCATGGTCCAAACATCTCTCTGCATTTTTTTCTGGTAGACAGTCAAGCTGGATGGAAACTAAATCTCCAACAATTACCAAATAGCAATAAACAAGGGAATAAAAAGACTGCACAGGGCTTTCTTCAGGCTTTGATAGATACATCCTGGCTCTTGAACTATAAAGTATGACATCTCTGGACTGAATCTCTTTGAGAGAAAAAAAAAAAAGCACGATCTTAAAGCTGGTATGACTTTCTAGCTTGAGCTTACGCTCTCTGCATTAGAAGCGTTCTCTGATCTCCACAATGGACAGGAAAAACACATCGACATATCATTGAAATAATTTATTTACCACTAGAGCACCACAAAAACAGACATACATTGTGTTAAAATACAGCGTAATCAGTCATCAAAATACAAAACAGCTATTCTTATGTTCCATTTAAAAAAAAAAAATCATGCCAACCATAAAACTGCATTGCTGTTTAACACAGAAAAACTGTAGCCCCATCCCACCCACATACTAACATTTTCCCCATTCCCTCCCACCTCCCTCCCGTCTCATGGCAATATTTACTTATGGGAAATAAAGGCCTTATAGAACCCCCCAAACTAAAAAAAAAAAAAAAAAGATTCAAGATATCTTAAAATAGAGCATTTAAAATATTATCAGTGCATTCATGAGGAAAGACAAAATAATACAAAACAAAATGTCATTCTATCTGAAAAGAAAATACCTGCAGAAATAAAAGTGATTTACATAGAATGAATAGAAAAGTGGAAGAGAAAAAAAAAATCAACACACTCCAATCTGGGATTGGGTTTCACCCAATCCAAAGGTTGTTTGGTATTGTGGCATCCTATCTCTTGCTTTTCCAGTTTTCAAACAAATCCAATTTGTCATTTTAATAATGGCCAGGAAATTCCAAGAAAAATTCTATATCAAACAACTTCACTCTGGATTCACACCTCACTGTGCTGCTCTTTAGGTAAAACTGCAAATATTCCATTGTCTTACTATTAATGATTATTCTAAAGCTAAATAAGTGACAACTGACAAACTGACATATCCTACAAACCCAAGGTTACCTCCTCTGCAAAAATGTAGCAAATCATGTATTTCAGCAAGGTAAATTCTAGCCTCTGATTTGGTAAGTCACATTCAGAGGAAAGAAAGGACTTTTTGATCATGGGAGAATTTGCCCTGTGCCTTTGCAACCTTCAAAGAACATCTATAAAAACCTTAATTTCAGTGAAATACACTAAATGACTTATGCTGACATGGGTTTATTTTTTCTTCCTTAAAAAAATCAACTAAAATGTTAATCTTTCCATTTTTCCCTGAACACTAAAAACTCGATTAAAGAAAAAGCTGTTTCCTGTGATCTGTCTGCTTTTTTTTAAACAGCAGAATTCTGTGAAAATACTGATTAAACCAAGTTAGAGACACCTTTCTTAAACCAGTCACTAAGACTCTGAGTTCCAGTCAGATCCTTAAGCCCTTGCTAAAACTAAAACATTTCACCTCAATTATCTATGTATCTATAACCCCCAATTTTCCTAAAATAGAAGCTTGTTAATGTCTGAACTGATTAGTAATGATGCTGAGAAAATGAAGGAAAACTATGTCTTTTTATAAAAGAAAAAAAAAAGGACAAGTGGACTCAGGTAGTTTATGTCATAATAATGGACAATGAACAAGCACAAGTGGAACAAATACTATCAAACATGTATTTGTAGTGCAAGTCGAAATACTGGGGCTTTATTCAAAAGTTCTGGCCAGCTAAAGGAAACACACAATTCCCAACAATCATGAGAAAGAGCCCAAATTTAAGTCCAATCTAAATCAGAGTTGGTGTTACTACAGAACATTAAAAAAATATGGTAAAAATTTACACATTACACATAAAGTAGTTAATGTTTTGATTTCATCATTTGCAAAAGAGATCTGCAGTTGTGTTTCCAATTATACTGGCTTCTATACCCATCTATTGTAATAATATAGGTATGGTTACATACACCGAAACGAACGAAAAATCTAGAGCTCAGCTACACAGCAATACTTTAAGGTCTGAAGTTTGTACGTATCTAAACATCTCAACGTCTCACTGGTTGACTAAACTGACAAAGAACCATTTACAATTAAAGAGAACAAAAAAATCTTACAGACTTAATCTGACTGAAAGTTTCCTTTATTAACAGGCTTTTCAGTTTTGAACCTTACAAGAAGCTTCCTCGGGCAGTTGGTACAGAGCATGTATTTGCAGGGTCTTTCTCTTTATGCAGACTCGCTTGGTCATATAATAGATCTCACTCGCATTTTTCATCTTGTTAATATGACCTTTTTGCTGGCCCGTTTAAGTTCAAGTTCCTTAACTCATCCACGGGTTTCTGGCAAAGTATTTGGTCTCCACTTTTTTTACACCTGTTTTATTTTCCAAGGGCAATGAAATGTTCATTATATAGTAACACACAATAAATAACTCACTGTTAACTCTAAGAGTAAGAATGGGAAAGATACCTATTGCATAGCAATACAGAAAAATCAAGTGAGGCATGGGATAAGAACATATGTACAGCAACTCCACTGAACGGGATTTTCCTGTTTGTTTGTTTTTTTTCTTTCACATAATTAACACTAACAAATACTTCCAGTGTTTATTTTTTTCTTAAGAAAAAAAAGGTTTTGCTTCTTGTCTCTCTCACTTACAGAGTAGGTAAAATATAGAGTAAAGCCTTCAACTTTTTTTTCATTTCAGATGCCAGTTTTAACAAACAGAACACAAACTTCCAAAGTGTTTGAACTAGTACCGCTTTTTCAAATTTTTTTTTAACACTGATGAAGCAAGGCTCTCTTGTGTTTTCTTGTTACAAACATTGCCTTTGTCACCATCATCACCATCATCATCGTGCGATTATCGTCTTGTCACTTTTCTGAGAATCTTAGCTGCATTTGCAAGACTTGACAATCATATTAGAAAGCTGTTCGATCTTGGGTGTTTTGCCAATGTAGTAGAGAATGGTGAGCGGCTCTAAATCTTGGGACACACAGCAAGGGGAAGCAGACGCTTCTGGATTTATGGTATTATATAAGCTGAGAACCTGAAAGAACGCAGGAGAAGAAAGAAAACATAGGAAAGGCCCAAACAAAAATAAGGGTAGTTATTTTTTAAATTTATTTATTTAATTGGAGAATACTTTACATTATTGTGATGGTTTTTGCATACAATATGAATATGAATTATCAATATGAATTGGCCATAGGCATAACATGTGTCCCCACCATCCTGAGCACGAGGGAGAACAGTGTGGAGATTCCTTAAAAACCTAAGGCAGATATTTTTAAATAGAACCATTGCACAATGTTATCAGTTCCAGTACTGAGTAGGCAATTTAAATGACTTGGGGCTTACACTTTACTTATTCTCCAATTATAGTCAAATGGGGAAGCGTCCCCAAGAATCCCTAAATTTATCATTTTCCCACAGAATCCTTTTTTCATACATTGGACAAAATTGCTCATTCAACAGATTTTCCAGTTTTTCCAATGAGTCTACTTTGAGCATAGCTTTGCTATCTGCATTTCCCAGGCCCTCAGAAAACTAGGTCCAAATACCAAACTTGGCATTTGGTCTTGTAAATCTGCCTGCAATGCAGTTTGACTCCTGGATTGGGAAGTTCCCCTGGAGAAGGGATAGGCTACCCACTCTGGTATTCTTGGGATTCCCTTGTGGCTCAGATGGTAAAGAAGTGAAGTGAAGTGAAAGTAGCTCAGTCATGTCTGACTCTTTGCAACTCTATACAGTTCATGGAATTCTCCAGGCCAGAATCTGGAGTGGGTAGCCTTTCCCTTCTCCAGTGGATCTTCCCAACCCAGGAATCGAACTGGGGTCTCCTGCATTGCAGGTGGATTCTTTACCAACTGAGCTACAGGATCCGTCTGCAATTCCAGGAGACCTGGAAAATCCCTGAGTTGGGAAATCTCCTGGAGGAGAGAATGGCAACCCACTCCAGTATTCTTGCCTGGAGAATCCCCAGGGACAGAGGAGCCTAGCGAGCAACAGTCCATGGGGTCACAAAGAAATGGACACGACTGAGTGACTAAGCACAAGCCAGCACTACACTGCTTCATAACTGAAGTTGTTTAATGAGTAGATATTTTCAATTCCCACCCAGATGAAGAGTTCCCTTGAGTCAGGGACTCTATACACCTCATTTTTTTTTTTTTTAAACCTTATAGCCCTAGTAAGTCTTCTCTGGACAAAATAAGACTCATGTGCTAGGTGAAGAAACAAATACACAAATAAGTAAGAGAATAAATTTTTCTTTATTAAAATTCTTAGCAGAATGCTAATCTATCCTTAGGTAGAGCAAAAGACACCTGTCTGCAGTGTGAAATATTTCTACACTAAGTGTCTTCTCAGGCCAATTTAATGTCACCTAAAATTTTCATTTAGAAGAAAAAAAAGTTCAAATTTTTTTCATTTGTCATTGTTTCATAAATACAATCATGTGAAAAAATACCCTCAGAAACAATCTATGTTCTTAATTATCCAGTTGGTTACATTTTGCTTATAACAATGATGTTAATAATAAAAACTTAGTAATAATAATCAGCCCTCCATTTAGCTTTTCATGTGGTAAATGGTAATTGGTAAGCTGGAGAGGTGGATAGCCAGTCTGAAAACAGAATGAAAAGGAAGTTCTACAGTTTGTGCTATACCTTTAACCCTGTCCTCTATCAAAAGAGCACATGACTTCTACCAACAGAAGTATGGCGCATCCTCAGTGATGATAAAGAGACCTTTCCAAGGATGCCATTAATGTGTTAGTCAAACAGCAAGTGACCTTTTCCTCGAGGTCCACAGCAACATTTTCAGCCTAAGACAGAAAATCTGTTCAGCAACCAACACTGACTACTTTATTAAGCCACCTCTGGCTTTTTGGGTAACTGTCCAAACCACATATTTGTGATCATGACAGTGATTCTTCCTCTCTCCTTGAAAAACAAGCATGGTCTCAGCCTTCACACACTCCCTCTGTGTGTCCAGAAGGCGCATTATGTTTCTCCTTGGCAACTGGGCCTTCCCACATTACGGCTACTGCTGCCACAGCCCAGCCGAAACAGCCTGGCCTGAGAGCTCAGACAAAGGGACAGGCAGGAGCAAGCTTCCCTCACATGGCCAACCACGTGGTCAGTCCCCAGAGCCAAAATCTCCAGGGTAGTCGGCAAAACCGCTGAAGGAAGGGGGGCCGTGTTTGTCAACTGAGAGTTTTGTGGACGTAAGCATTTATCAATAAAGAGACTTTATCCTCCACCAACACGTGATTCTTCCACTGAATACAAGAGGAATTTTCTAAGACAGATTGTCCAAAATAATGGATATTCCCCAAACTCTCGAATTCAGCTGAACGCATTATGCGATCTCTTTTTGGCAGCAGATTCATTTTCCTACCCTGCAGTGAAAGGCAATTTTTCTAATGCTCCTTTAATAAGAAGATTTACAGAGGCATAACCTCAATGTGTAGCCAAGACAGCAAATGAAGGCCTGGTTATAAAACCAGGAGTCTTGTGTCCTAAGCTTTGGTTTGCCACCAACTGTTTTGATCCTGGGTAAGTCATCTACATGATATAGACTCTGATTTTTTTAGAAAAATGAATGGTTTGGACAATATAACCCATTTTTTGTATTTTATCTTATGATTATTTTGTTTTTTCTTGAATACAGTTGATTTAAAATGCTATGTTAGTTTCAGATGGACAGAAAAGTGATTCAGTTATACATATATATGTATTGAGCTGGCCAAAAAAATCACTGGGGTTAAGATGTTATGGAAAGATCTGAACGAACTTTTTGGTCAACCCTATATGTGTGTGTGTGTGTGTGTGTGTGTGTGTGTGTGTGTGTGTGTGTATTTTTTTCCAATTCTTTTCCCTTATATGTCATTATAAAATACTGAGCATAGTTCTCTGTGCTGTATGGTAGGTCTTTGTTATTTATCTGTTTTATGGATAGTACCACAGGGTGGGACAAGATAACTTATCAAGTCCTTTCCACCTCTAAAATTCTACATGACGACCAGGAAAGAAGCGTTTGGAAAAATATCATTATTACACAGAAAAAGTCTTGGTTAATCTGGGCTGGAAACTCATGGCATCTACTCTGGCACCTAACTTCTGAATGAGACTTCATTCCTCATCAAAGTAACTTAATAAAATTTTCAGATTCTCATTTATTCTAGGTTATATTCAAAAAGACTTAGGGATACTGATTTTTGAAATCATTGTCACGTATATCATCTTATGTTTTTCACATCTACTCTTGAGTTGGACATTATTATTTCAAAAAAAAATTTTTATTCTTTTTACTGATAAGAAACTGAGGTTCAAAGAAGTTAAATAATTTCATAATTGTCATACACTAGTGAATCAGGTGGCACTAGTGGTAAAGAACCCGCCTGCCAATGCAGGAGATGTGGGTTCTATCCCTGATCCAGGAAGATCCCTTGGGAAGGGAATGGCACCCCACTCCAGTATTCTTGCCTGGGAAATCCCATGGATAGACAGCCTGACTGGCTACAGTCCATGCAGTCGCAAAGAGTCAGACATGACTTAGTGACTGAACAACAACAACATTGAATCAGTCCACCAAAGCATCTATTGAAGTCGCCAGTGTTCTTTCTAGCATGATAGACCCGATTGGGGTGATAACACATCCTTTTTCCAGCTAGAGAACTGGGTCCCTGCACATTTTAACAGTATCTGACACTTAGTAAGATATTGATTCCACCTATTTATGCTTACAGCTGTTAAGAACATAAAACAAAGAGAAAATTAAAATTGTCCTCAGGTTGCTCACAGGCTAATTGGAAAGGCCAGACCTACTGTCTAAACTCATAAGTATTGCTTTCTGAGTTCACCTACAGCCCAAATTTTTTCTCATCATTCAAAAGGGTTTCTCCAGCATCCATTTATGTGTGATGACAAAAGGGCACCAGGCTATTCAGTAAAACTATCAGCAGTTACAATCAGCAGCCCAAGAATGAAGAGACAAGTGAAGCCTATACTTACCCTACTGTGCTGAGTGTCTGAGCTCCACAGATATGGGCACGCTCCAGCACAGAAGTTGGCATTGTACCCTTTAGGCTCATGAATCCATTTCCACCCAAGATCCCTCTTGAAATCAATGTAAAGTGGGCGTAGGCAACAATTATCCTGCACATTTCTGATAAAAGAAAGAGCAATGAAGATTTTAAAGCTGATTTTCGTCCCACTCCAGGTCCCTTATTCCAAACCAGAGAAATGACTCATTTGTTTATTCAACAAATAAATATGAGCATTGGGGTTCCCTGGTGGCTCAGCTGGTAAAGAATCCACCAGCAATGCAAGAGACCTGGGTTTGATTCCTGGGTTGAGAAGATCCCCTGGAGAAGGGAACAACTACCACTCTAGTATTCTGGCCTGGAGAATTCCATGAACAGAGGAGCCTGGCAGGCTACAGTCCATGGAGTCACAAAGAGTCGGACACAACTGAGTGACTTTCATACATACATATATGAGCATATATCACAGACAAGGTTTTAATGGTTGTACAGCAATCTCAGAGACTTTCATAATGGAGTGTGATGGTGCTTTGCTGGACTGCTTTCCCTTGGGAGTTCTATACTCTGACCCTCTTACCTGTGTCCTCAAAAACCAAACCCTTCCCTTGAAGGATGAGACATAAGCAGAAAGGTGGCAGATGGAGACCAAGCCCCTTCCAACCTACAAAGCACCGGTTTACCATCCAGCCTCTATTGCCTTTTCAAATGCAAAATGAAGTACAACAGCTATTTACAGAGAACCATCTCAGGCATTTTCCTTTGAGAAAAAATCCTTTATTTCATTTCCTGGCCCTGGATCTAGGGATAAACCAGAGATCAAGAAACACAGAGTCTTGCTTATTAGTGCAACCACTGGCTCTAGCAAACAAAAAACACTCTTTTTCTTGCAGTTTATCAGTGAGGACCTCTCACCACCCCATAGCTCATGACATAAAGAAAGAGCCTTTCTCTTACCAGGCTCACTAAGAAACCACAGAAGGACATTCACACTTTCCCTCCATGAACTCATGTGGGAATAGGAGATAAATTTATGTTACTCCCCCTTCTCTCGTATTCTGTAGCAAAAGACACAAAAAATAGCACTTTTATTCTATCTCTCTCATCACTGTTACTGTCTGTGAAGGAGATCTGACCATGGGTACCCTGCCAGGTGGCATGGATGATAAAGAACCTGCCTGCCAATGCAGAAGATGTAAGAGATGCAGGTTCAATCCCTAGGTCCGGAAGATCCCCTGGAGGAGGGCATGGCAACCCACTCCAGTGCTCTTGCCTGGAGAATCCCATGAACAGAGGAGCCTGGCGGGCTACAGTCCATAGGGTCGGACAGAACTGAGGCAGGACTGAGGCAATTTAGCACACACGCATGCATGCACACCCTGCAGGGAGAGGAAAGGCTCCTTCAGATGGCGAGTCTCCCCAGTTAGGGAGCCGCCATCATGCTCCTCAAATAAACCTATCTTTGCTTTGGGAGTCGAGAGTTCATTTTCTCCTTCAGCCTCAAAGTGCTTCAGAGAGACTTGGGGTGGGGGTGAAACTCAAGGGGCTAGTTTTCTCCCTTCATAGTGGGTTTGTTGTTAAAGAACTGATGAAGACAGCATAGAAATAACTGTTTAAACCTCTGGTGTTACAAAATACGATGGCTCTATTTTTCTATCCCCGGCTTTAAGCAACGAGTTACAGTTCAAGTCCATTTTCAGTAAAACAAAAGGCGAAGGCAGGATAGGAGTTAAACAGAAACACAATTCCTTTTTTGTTTTCTTTTTATTTCCTTTACCTAAAGCAATAGGCTGCATCCAGGGCACGCTTCTTCCGCCGGTTGGACTGTTGGGACTCAAGTCTGTAGGAGGGCAACAACATTAGCAGGAGATGTGGGCTCTTCCCACTGGTTTTTTTCCTAGTGGACTTTATTGTTTTCTGATCACCACTGGTATAGGTAGAGGTGCCATCAATACCTTGAAAAAATGCATTCGGGTAATAAACATTTAGCTTTACCTTCATCAAGTAGAATCAGCCATACCTTTTTTTTCCCCCCTTTGTCTATTGCCACAAACAGCAGTGATGACCACACAGCAGCAGCAGCAGTGGGCTCACTCCCCACAGCAATGGATGGGACGAGTACCGGTGACAAGGAACACGGCTAAATGGGGCTCTTGTCAGAAGGCAGCTCAGTGTCCAAGGCAGGGCGAGTTGGTTATGAAAGTCACTACAGAAGGAGTCTTTGACCTCTAGTCCGAGGGCACTCTTTCTCAGTAGTTCAGTCAGTCCTCAGCGGAGGCTGTGCCCAAGCCTTCGACGACTGATGACACGGCTATAGAACATGCCTTGTCACCCGCTGGGTGCCTCTCTTCCCAGGACTGGTCAACTCAAAGACTTTCCTCATGAACCTAAACGGAGCCTCACACTAAACTGCAGTGAATGAGGTTCAAGTGAAACAGAAGTCACCCTTACCTAATGCTGTTTGGGGAAGCTGTGAAGAAAGGGCTTTTTCATTGATTTTTATGGCATCCTCAACACTTTCCTGATTCCATCTGAGATGGAGAAACCCGAGCTTCCCAGAGCATGCTCAAGAGACTGCCAGCTTAAGCATTTAATCTCTGTACTTCTCAAGAATCATGACTAGGTTAGAGATTGAAATAAATCTCTAGACTTCTGGGAGGATTTTTCCATGAGCAAGGGCCATTGGAGCCTTTGGCCAAGGGATGGAGGTCCCCGGTGGGGTTAGTTAGGAAAGGGCAATCAGCTCCCTAACCTGGTGGTATGGAGCAAGTGCTGCACCCGCAATTGGTCCAGACCCTCTGCTCCTCTCATCATCCAATGACTTGTTATCTAGTGGAAGACATGACTTGAACCCTTGGTATCTCCTCATCCCCTTTGACTTTTGGCTAATTCACTAAAAGGTGAGCAAGACTGGGGGGGGCGGGGCAACTAAAACTCTGTTCTGTGTTTACAAACGTATTATGAAAGCCTGATAAGGAAGCCACTTGGAATACTGGGCATCAGCCAGCAAAGGGGGTGTGTTCTGACACAGATCAGGTTAGTTACAGAGGCTGTGGCAGGAGGTGACGTCCTTCTGAGAAATCCAGTGGTGGATTCCTGATGTTGGGTTTGGGAGCATTATCAATGGATGTACTTGAATGCATGCTATCTTTTTCTTCTATAACATTAGCACTGAGGGAATGCTGGTTTGCTTAAATGAAGAATGAAGGGCTTAACAGGTTCTTTAAGAGTCTGGAAGGCTGGTAAGTCTGTCAATTAGTATTGCCAAGTCATCACTATGCTTTGAGCAATGTAAACTGGAAACCAATCCCTTTCTGCCTCATGTATCTTACCCCAACAATAGCTTTGACCAAATGACCAAACAATTGCAATCTTATTTTCACACGCAAACTGACCTCATTCCCCCAGAAGATTATCGACAGAGGCCTTCCCTCCCCCACCTCCTTTGCCCAAGTTTCATTTACCTGCAAATCGTGCTTCTAGTTCTTCACTTTTATTGGGGATGATGTAATTATTCGATGGCACAAAGGTGCAGCAGGGACAGTGTAAACTTATTTTAAATCCCAGGTTCCTGTCTGGAAAACATGAAGTCGAGGAGGTCATTTTTCTGGGCATCTAATACCCCTCCACCTGTCAGTGCTTTGTAAATAATTTAGGATCACTGAACATCGAAGGAGGAAAACAGAGAGCAGTGGTCACCTTTATGGTGGAGCCATTCGTGAACAGCATCGGTGACATCGAAGGAGAGCCATTCGCCCTCTGCTCTGGTTTTCACGACTTTGCTATCGATGTAGCGCTGGGTTGGAGATGTTAAATCTTTGGATTTGAGAATCTAGAGGAGGAAAGGGCAAGAGAAAAAGCTCAACTGGCATACTGACAGCAGGACTAAACCCACACTATTAACAGCATCCCAGTTCACTATCTAAGTTGAGTCCCACTCCAGTCTACCCAAGTATTGTCATCTCATGGGCACGGCCACATGCATAAAAAAGTAACACCAGGCCATTTGCCATGAAAAATAGAGCTACTAAATCAGCCATGTGTTTTGATAAAGGTGACAGGAACCATAAAGCCAAGTGTCTCAAAGAAAGTGACAGTAATTATTTTCTTCTGCTGACACAAGCTTTGCAAGATTTCAGCCATAAATTCTATGCTATTAAGTTAATGGTTTTGTTGTTCTGCTTCCCGACCGTATTTCATATGGGGAGCTGGGATGTGGGGAGGGACCAGAGGACCAGTCCAGGTCAGAGGATCCGGGCTCACCCTCGGAAGGCTCTGAATATAAATCTTCTTCAAATAAAGAGACAAAGGCCTTAATCTTGGTTTCTAAATCCACCGCCATTTTAATAAAATATGGGACATGCCTCAACTTTGGAGGTAAGTCTCTAGCTGGGATTTTTACTCTCCCTGTGACTTGTTATGATTTATAAGGATATTCCACATCCCGCAGACAAAGAACGAATTTGGGCAGGAGCAGTCTGGCATGGTGTGGAGGGAGAGTCTGAAAGGAAATCAGCCTGAACGCTAACAATTTAGAAAGATGCATTTATTTCAAATAAGTTAAGAGCAACTGCAGGCTGTTCTTAGGTTTCTATAGGAAGTGAACATTTTAAGTTGCTTTTTAAAAAAACTTTCTGTCTGTCTTTAAATGATAGTGTTTTATGAACCAGTCAAACCACGACTCTAAGTCTCCAAGAACTATATTAAATCCCTACCCAAACCTGTATCCTGCCTTTCCTCAGTACTTACGGGCTCAAGCTCTGTTGCTTTATATTTACTTCCTGAGACTGAGTCTAACCGTGATGTGGTTGCTTCATGTTTATGTGTTTGGTCTCTCCAACTAGTTCATAAACCTTGCCAGGCCTGGGATCTTCAATTTGATATCATTTCAAAGCACAGCACTTGACTTAATCAATGTCTATTAATAGGATTGCCTGCATATCTAGAAAATTTAAACCTTGTAAAACCTTGTAAAACAAAAATGCATAGTGTTCCTTCAGATTTTACAATGCATTTTCCTCCCATGTGTGCACATCATTGGTTTCAAGCAGCCCAACAACAGACACTTCCTAGGAAATTTGGCATTATAGTAGACTTTTTTTTTTCTGGATTGTTGTTCAGTCGCTAAGTTGTGTCCAACTCCTTGCAGTGCCTAGGACTGCAGCATGTCAGGCTTCCCTGTCCTTCACTGTCCCAGAGTTTGCTCAAGTTCATGTATATTGAGTCAGTATTGCTATATAACCATCTCATCTTCTGTTGCCTCCTTCTCCTTTTGCCTTTAACCTTTCCCAGCATCAGGGTCTTTTCCAATGAGTTGGCTCTTCATATCAGGTGGCCAAAGTATTAGAGCTTCTTCCAGATTAAGTAAGTACAAAATAGGGCAAAAAATCATAAAACTGGACCTCAGACACCCTCATGAATCTTTAGACTAACCTTACTCTACAAGCCTACCTCTCAAGTGCAACAAACCCCACTATGTGCAGAAAATCTAGAGGTAATCATGATCTACCATATACAAGAGATGCCCTTTCTGAACTAAAGGAAGAAAAGAAACATGACTTAAGGGCTGAGTACATGGGCCCTGAGTTTGGCACACATTATTTCATTTAATTTAATCCTGTCAGGTAGATGAAGGAAACCAAAAGTCAGAGAGGTTGAATAACTTGCCCAAAGCCTCACAGTGAACAAATGATTCAAAGCAATTCCAAGTTATTTTTTCAACTCTGATGCTGGATTCTTGAAGGCCAAAAGAGTTGTGAGTCCCCTTGGATCACGATTCACCCTTACCCCTTTCCAGATGACAGAAAACAGTCACTGACAGAGACAAATATTTCTAACAAGATTATAGTAAATGTTGGGAGAAGATGAAAATATACCATGTGGGACATATATGTAGTTAATGCTGACATACCTATAACTTTCAAGATGCAACTTAACAGTTATATCCTCTGAAAATCAAACCTTGATTTGATTTCCTGCCTTGGGAATACTCCCAGTTGCGGAAATAAGACACTATGCATCCAATTCGGGAAAAACAGTACAATTCACCTAATATAGAATAACAAGGGTGAAACAATAGTTGAGAAGACATTTTCAGGCATTTCCATCTGTCTCACTGACTGAAAACTGTAACATTCCCAAAGCTCACCTTTCCATCTTTAAATTTCTTCCTCTAGCTGACTTTCTTTCATGATGTATTATTTCATAACGTTTTGTATACTTGCTTTGTTCCTAATTAACATGTGCATGCTAAGTCAGTTCAATCATGTCTGACTCTTTGTGACCCTATGGATTGTAGCCCACCAGGCTCCTCTGTCCATGGAGTTTTCCAGGCAAGAATACTGGAGTGGGTTGTCATGCTCTCCTCCAGGGGACTTTTCTGACCCAGGGACTGAACCCACGTCTCTCATGTCTCCTGCACTGCAGGCAGATTCTTTACCACTAGTGTCACTTGTTGTTGTTCAGTCACTCAGTCGTGTCCGACTCTTTGCCACCCCATGGACTGCAGCACTCCAGGCTTCCCTGTCCTTCACCATCTCCTGGAACTTGCTCAGACTCATGTCTATTGAGTCAGTGATGCCATCCAACCATCTTGTCTCCTCCTGTCTTCAATCTTTCCCAGAATCAGGGTCTTTTCTAATGAGTCAGCTCTTCGCATCTGGTGGCCAAAGTACTGGAGCTTCAACATCAGTAGCAGTCCTTCTAATGAATATTCAGGACTGATTTCCTTCAGGATGGACTGGCTTGATTTCCTTGCAGACCAAAGGATTCTCAAAAGTCTTCTCAAACACCACAGTTCAAAAGCATCAGTTCTTTGACTCTCAGCCTTCTTTATGGTCCAACTCTCACATCCGTACATGACTACTGGAAAAACCATAGCTTTGGCTAGATGGATCTTTGTCACCAAAGTAATGTCTCTGCTTTTTGATACACTGCCTAGGTTTGTCACAGCTTTTCTTCCAAGGGGCAAGCGTCTTTTAATTTCATGGCTGCAGTTACCATCTGCAGTAATTTTGGAGCCCAAGAAAATAAAGCCTGTCACTGTTTCCCCGCCTATTTGCTATGAAGTGATGGGACTGGATGCCATGATCTTAGTTTTTTGAATGTTGAGTGTTAAGCCAGCTTTTTCCCAGTGCCACATGGGAAGCTCTAATTATCATAGTGTATATCTTACTCATCTTCATATCCCTAATACTTAGATGCACTGTCTAGAACAAAACATTGCTTTCATTGTTGAATTAATTACATCTGATAAGTATATATCTATTATATATCAATATCTTCAATATGTATCTGTGAGATATATATATATATCTCATAACTTAAGATATCATATATGTTTGTATACATCTATATGTATGCATACATCTATATGTGTGTGTGTATTTGTATGTGGGCCTCCCCTGGTGGCTCAGATGGTAAAGAATCCACCTGCAATGCAAGAGACCTGAGTTGGATCCCTGGGTTGGGAAGATCCCACAGAGAAGGGAATGGCTATCCACTCCAGTATTCTTGCCTGGAGAATTCCATGGACAGAGGAGCCTGGCAGGCTACAGTCCATGGGTCACAAACATTTGGACAGGACTGAGCAACTAACACTTTCACTTTTCACATATGTGTATATATACAAATACACAGAATCTCACTAAAAATACAGAATTTTTTTAAAAATTCATGACCACATTGACAACATGGGCAGAAAAAATGCACACTAGCAAATCTAATTAAATGCATCTTTATAGAGAAGGTAGATCTAGATTATCTGACTTTAAAATCAAATCAAAGAGGAACAAAGAGATTCTGAATTTTTTTTTCTTTTTAAATCTTACTAGAAGATAAGTGCTTCCTCAGCCACAGAACACTGGTAGGTTCCAACATCCACAGCCTCATACTCTCACACGGGTGAAAGGTCCTCCATATCTTTTTACTAGTTCAAGAACAGGCCAATTGAAACCACCAAGAAAGACAGTCAGTGAGCTACCAAATTCTGAAACAGAGAAATGACTTTGGTCTTGTGGGTTTGTTGTCTTGAACTTTATGGCCAAGGAGTTCTTAAACCCACTTGTTGCAATTTAACTCCATTCTTTCTTATCCAGTCCTTAGTGGAAACAGGAAACAGCTGCTTTCCATCACTCATAGAATATCCCTCATATTCTTGGAGACTATTATTAAGTCCCCCTCAGCATGCTCAGTCTCCCTCTCTAAGCTAAATAAACCCAATTCCTTTAGCCCATATTTAGAGGGCCAGTTTCCCAAACCTTTAATCACTTGGGTCACCAATAAGGATGGATGATGCTGCATAAAAGTACTCCTCCTACAGCTCGGTGATTTAATTTCAGAACTGGCTAGAAAACCTTCTAATCACATCCCAAAGTCTCGAATCTTAACTTGAAAGGTATTTTCTAAGAATAGGCACACTCTCCGTATTCCCTGTTTATCCTCCATTTATCACCCACGCTAAATTAAGTTGTAAGGAAAGAAAATCAACCCACTGCATTTATCGAGTAGAATTTTCTTAAATTCAAGAGTTGACACAAAAATGACCACCTTGCTCAACTTCCCATTCTATTTAGCCTTTTCTGTCAGCCTTTCTTCTGCTAGAGTCCCAACTAGTATATTGATGTTAACAGTCCTAGATGGTTTTTTTTTCCCTAGAATCACAATCGTTTCTAAATTCCTTTATATGTTTTATAATGACAGAGATAATTCAGTTGAATGGTAAAAACTCTCTTAACTGGCCACCGTTTTACTGTCCAGATTAACCAGTATTCTCCATTTTTTTCTGTAATAGGTACTGACTGTTGCCCAGAGCACACTGGGACTCATTACTGG